CCTCTTGAAAACTCTATTTTACTTATTTGTTGTCTGTCTCCTTGCACTAGAATGTCACTTGCATGGGAGCAGGGATGTGTTTGTGCCCTGCTGTATCCTCAGGGGTTCTACCAGTGCTGGCACATAGTAGGTGCTCAGCAGATGCTTGCTGAATGGGAGAGAAACTGCTCACTGTATTTGTTTTACTATGTTTGATTTTTGAACCACGTTGTCTTCTTCAAAAATTAAAGAATGCACTTGTTAAAAAAAAAAAAGAAAAAGGAATAATTTATGCAATGCAAAAAGACCTAAAGTAAAAAGAAAGCCTTCCCTAGTTTTCCCCAGAGGTCCCCAGAGTTTTCAGCTTGTATCATTACCAGAGAGTCTCTGGTTCTACCAGCATAGATTGGAGTGGCCTTTTTTCGTGTGTTATTTTATGCAAAGAGGCCCAAACTGGAACCCTGTTTGACATCTGATTTTTCCCCGCACTTAACAATATATATTGCCGATCACTGTAGGATTCCATATCCGTGTATACAGATCTACAGACTCTTTTTACAGGTTTAATAATATTCTAGTGTGTGGAATTCGTTTAACTTTAACTTAACTAAGCAGTACGAGCGGATGGACATTTGGCTTGTTTTCAGTCTTTTGCTACTGTGAATAGGCCGCAGTGTATGTACCTGGCCAACCACTAAGTTCTCAACTTTGGCCCTGTTGACACTTTAGGTGTGATGATTCTTTGTTGGGGGCCTGTCCTGTGCATTGTTGAAAGCTTAGCAGCTTCTCTGGCCTCTGTCTATGAAATACCAGCAGCACTTTCCCCTCTTCCCACCAATTTATGACAACCAAAAATGTCCCTAGGCATTGCCAAATGTCCCTTGGGGGGCAAAATTGCCCCTAATTGGAAATGAGTGATCGAAAGGTTAAATTCTTTTTTTTTTTTTTTTGAGACAGAGTCTTGCTCTGTTGCCCTGGGTATGATGTCAGCCTAGCTCGCGGCAACCTCAAACTCCTGGGCTCAAGCGATCCTCCTGCCTCAGCCTCCCAAGTGGCTGGGACTACAGGCATTGCCAAATGTCCCTTGGGGGGCAAAATTGCCCCTAATTGGAAATGAGGGATCGAAAGGTTAAATTCTTTTTTTTTTTTTTTTGAGACAGAGTCTTGCTCTGTTGCCCTGGGTATGGTGTCAGCCTAGCTCGCGGCAACCTCAAACTCCTGGGCTCAAGCGATCCTCCTGCCTTAGCCTCCCAAGTGGCTGGGACTACAGGCATGCACCTCCACGCCTGGCTAATTTTTTTTATCTATATTTTTAGTTGTCCAGCTAATTTCTATTTTTTAAGTAGAGACGGGGTCTCACTCTTGCTCAGGCTGGTCTTGAATTCTTGAGCTCAAGCAATCCTCATGCCTCAGCCTCCCAGAGTGCTAGGGTTATAGGCATGAGCCACTGTGCCTGGCCCAAAAGGTTAAATTCTAAAATGTAGAATTGCTGGATCAAAATTTATGTGTATTTTAAACTTTTAGATTGACATGGGGAAATGAGCAATCTCATATATTGTTTGCGGGAGTTTAAACAACGTATTTCAAACATCTTTCCATGTTGTATTTTCTTGTACCACATCATTTTAGCAGGTGCACGGAAGTATACCCATCGTTTTAAAAATCAGTCCTGTGGTTGGACACACCAGTTGTGCTGAATGTCTGCATACTAAGTGTGAAGCTTAGTTCTGCTGCTTACTGGACTGTGTGACCTTGGGAATGTCACTTATTTTATCTGAGCCTTAGTTCTTCATCTGTAAATTGGGGATAATATAATAATAGTTTCCACCTCACAGACTTAGAGTGAGGATTAAATTTCATAAATGCACATAAAGTTCTTAGCACAGGAGTAATCACTAATCCTGATTAGTAAGTGTTGGCAGTATTTTTGTTATAATGATTATTTTTATTAGTGTTAAACGGGTTCCGGTGTTTGAGAGTGCCTGTTTTACTACAACTCCACCTATACCGGGGTTATGTATTTTTTTTATGCTCGGCTTTGCTCTCCCTCTGTGCTTCGAGTAATGCCGTCCTTGGCCTCACTTTTCCTCACAGATCCTGTTCTCCAACATCGAAGACATCCTGGAAGTTCATAAGGATTTCTTGGCCGCCTTGGAGTACTGTTTGCACCCGGAGCCTCAGTCTCAGCATGAACTTGGGAACGTTTTCTTGAGATTTGTGAGTACGATGCTGCAGCCCGGGTGGGCTCTGCAGCTTTTGAGAAGTGGGCCTCCCCCGGGTTCCTGCTCCACCCGCCCCTGACCAGCTTCCTCTGGAGGCCTGTCTGGGAGGCAGAACAGCCGTGGTGGGCAGGCGGGCCCCACAGACTGGGCATTTCTAGCACTCTCCTCTCCCTCACTTTCATACAGAGTGTGGCCCCCGCTGAGCGACTGCATCCTGGGGTCCTGGACCTCCTGGCCTGGCGGGGCCCCCCTGCCACAGAATGACCAACAGAGTAGCTAGTGGCCGAGAGGGTGGACTTGGCATCAGACAGACCCGGGTTTGAGTCCAGCCACCCACTGGCCAGCGCGGGGTATCTGATCCTTGGGTGCCCAGCTGGGCCGCTGGTCAGAGAGTCTCCCCTTGGGATTCCTGACTGCCTTGCAACCTGGGTGGTGGGCTGGAGGAGGGAAGGCAACTGCCTGTCTGTACCCTCTCCTCTGCGCTGCCTGGGCCCCTCCTCACGGGGAGGGCGAACTCCTTCGCCTCTCTGAGCCTCAGTTTCCTCCTCTGCTTAAGAAGTAGGGATGGTCCTGTCTCCTCCCTAGGCTGATGGGAAGACCCAGAGGTGAAGCAGAGAAGTGCTGAGCACAGAAGAGGGCTTCTCAGCCGGGGGCGGCTGCCCCCCAGGAGACGTTGGGAAATGTTTGGAGACATTTTTGGTTGTCACAACCCTAGGGGGATGGGTGCTACTGGCTTCTAGTAGGTAGAGGCCAAGGATGCCACCAAATACCCTACAATGCACAGGACACCCCCCCGACAGAGAATTATCTGACCTCAAATGTCAGCAGTGCTGAGATGGAGAAACTTTGACTTATGGTGAGCACTTGGTCGATGCTAGCTCTTACCACTACCACCGCCATCATCATCACCATCATCACTATCATCAGCTCTGACTCACTTCTCCAAGGGCTCACATCTCAGTGGTCAGAGTCTCGGATGACAGAGCCTGTGTAGCTCTGTCCTCAGAGAGTTACAGCCTAGTGGACAGTCTCATGTTGTGGTCAGAGGGGAGGCACTTTTAGTCAGGCTGCTGAGCTACTCAGTAATTGTGTTACTCTCAGCAAGTTGTTCTAACTGGTCTGTGCTGCCTCAGTGTACCTACCTGTGAAATGGGTGTAAACTCATGACGTTGTGGTGAGGATTGAGTGAGATGCCAGGGGAGTGCTCAGAACAGCTCCCGACACATGCTAAGTGCTCAGTAAATGTCGGATGTTATCTTCCGGTTCGTGTAGTGGACACTTCTCCGTGTTTGAAAAGGACAAATAAGAGCAGGTGAGGGGGCACAGGCGGGGCGGGTGCCAGCGGAGGTGTTGGGTTGTGGTCCACTTTGGGTTGAGAGGGCCCTTCGGCTGCTGGGAGGGAGCATCAGTGTGGAGGGGAAGGAGGCAGCAGGGAGACCAGCTAAGAGGCCACCCTGCCGAGTCCCAGATGGTGCCTCGGACCAGCGAGGTGGCAGTGGAGGTGGTGAGAAGGGGCGGGTGGCCACAGGGTTCAGTAAACGTGTTTGCATAGGAAAATGAAAAGAGTGGGAGGGACGGTCTCCCCTTCGGGTTCGGAGGAAAGAGCGAGGGCTTGTTTCTGGATTCAGCAGCTGACAATCAAACCCTGTTCCACTGCTGACCCTGAGCAAGTCACCTCACCTCCTGGGGCCTCAGTCTCCAGCTCTGTAAAATGGGGGTAATGACAGTACCTGCCTTGGGCTGTCAGGAGGATGGAATGAGCTGGCCCAGCACTGAGCTGATACTGCGTGAGTGTTGGCTGTGGACATTTTCCCAGCCAGGGCAGCAGGGAGGGCTTTCTGGGGGAGGTGGCCTTGGGGCTTCGCACCTCGTGGCTAAGCCAGTGTTCTTCACTGCATTGATCACACACTAAGTTTGTGATCTTTGCTGCACCTGGTACCCCTCGTATTATTATTTGTTTAATCCTTTAAAAATTGATTCACTTTAAAACACCTTAAATAAACTTATTTAGAAAGGGAGATTCACATCATTGTTAGAAATGGAAAATGAATGTCTCTGCTATAAATAGAAGGTAATCATAAAAATAAATGCGCTAGAAACCAAACAGTGTTACCACATTCTGTCTAGAAACGCGTGCCCACCTGTGCTTCTCAGCCCGAGACCTGTCTTCAGTTTGATTGAAAGGAAGATTCACAGCGTAGACGGGTATGACTGTCACTCACTCCTCACTGAGACCCTCCTCGAGCTAAGTGGAACAGCTGAAAACGGAGCCAGCTTTCTTAGTGTGTGATTCAGTGTTTTTTAATTTAAAATCATCTTTTTAATTTAAAAACTAAAATCGTCAGCCCCTTCCCCCTGGCTCATGGAGGACTGTACTGCTCCTGCATCCTGCTGTCTCGGGAGTTTTAGCGGCAGCCCCTGCCGGCGGTTGGGTTTCCGGAAGCTGGAGATTTGTGTGCAGGTGGCCTCTTGGAAGCAGCGGGAGGGGAGGTTGCAAAGCTCTACCCTGACCTCAGACCATCCTGTTGGAAGGATCTCTGGAGCTAGGATGGCCCTTCGGCTCATGCACGTCGCAGCAAGGGGGCGAGGCCTTTGCATCCACACTGCCTGGTCACTGGAGGTGGGCTCTCCCAGGAATGGGCGTAAAACCTCAGGCTGCCGCTCTCTTAGGCCGAGGGCTGTCCCTGGGGAGGGCTTCAGCTGAGGCCCATTGTCTGCCACCACGCCCAGCGCCCAGCGTGTCGGGGAGCAGGTACCCCTGCCCTCATGGGTGGGATTTGAGCAGCCCCGGCAGCATCCACCGCGGCCCCACAGGAGAGCGGCTGGGCCCAGCCCTGTTCCCAGGCTTGTTTACTCCCTGCCTGGAAACGTTTTCCCACAGCCGAGGCAGCATCTGGGCTGGCGAGGTGGTAATTGGGAACAGAGTTCTGCAGACGGGCTCTCCGGGAGCGGAAGGGGCCCTGGCTCGCAATGCAGCCCACTGGTGCTGCCTCAGTCAGGGGACAGGGGAAGAATCCCCCACCTCCTTACCCCAAAACCCAACCACTAACTACCGAGTTTATCAGAAACTAGCACTGAGGGAACATCGTCTTTGTGCTGGGTTATGTTCTATGTGCCTTATGTATATTAATTCATTAAAATTTCACAACGGCCTTTAAAGGTGGGTGCTATTGTTGTACCCAGTGTACAGATGAGGAAACCGAGGCTTAGATTATAGTGCAAGCTTACATGGCTAGTAAGTGTCAGAGGTAGGATTTGAGCTGACACGTTCTGGTTCCAGAGTCTATGCTTTTCACTGTTTTACATGATAATGTCTCCTGAAATACATATTAAGTGCCTGCTGTGTGCAAGGCCCTGTACTAGGCCCTGGGGAGGATGCTGCCATGAGGCTCACTGGCCGGAGAGAGAGAGGCTAAGTTAACAGACGAGGTCATTTCAGATGATAATGTGGATCTTGAGTAACATAAAATGCAGATGTGGTGAAGAGCGACTCTGCCCGAGGCTGCTTTAAATGGGGAGGTCAGGGACGGGGTCCTAGATTTAGCAAGTGAAAACAAGGGACACCCAAGTCCATCTGAATTTCAGGCAAACGTCAGATCATTTTTTAGTGTATATTTCTTGCAATATCTGAGCCGTACTTATGATGAAAAATTATTTGTTGTGATCTGAAATTGGAATTCCACTGGGCGCCCTGTGTTTTATCTGGCCGCCCTAGGCAGGCACAGCTTCTTCGAGGTAGGGAAGTGCGCCGATCTTGGGTGAGAGTGTTCCGGCCCGAGGGAAGAAAGGGCAGAAGCCTTGAGCTGGGCACATTGGAGGGAAGGAGGGAGACGAGTGTGGCCAGAGCAGCACGTGGAGGAGAGAGTTTCGGGGCATTATGGTGGGGGGCAGATCCAGTAGGGCTTTGTGGGCCAAGGCCAGGACGATAGATTTTATTTTAAGGCTCACAGGAAGCCCTCAGAGGTTTTAAACTTGGGAGTGGTGTGGTTTGATTTCTGTTTTAATCCCCCCTCCCTGCAGCTGTGTGGGTGGGTGAATGCCAGGGTGGGGAGACCCTTGAAAAGTTGAGACCTGACTCTCCTGCTCCCCTCCGCACTGGAGGAGGGGTCTGCACGGGCCAGCGCCTCCCCTTCTCTGGGTCTCAGCCTTTCTGGCTGTGACACGAGTGGTTTGGAGCAGATGGTCTCTGTGGAGCCAGTGTCACCTCCAGGTACTGCGGACAGCAGACGCCACCTCTGACAATCCGCGAGCCCTCGCTGGGCTAGATCCCCTCCCCTGGCTGTCCCCAGCTGGCAACCGTCCCCTCTCCGCCTTCACACCCCAAACCCACAGCCGCAAGTTCCCCGCCCACCACATCTGTGTGTGCGCAACTGTGTGTCCGTTTCCTTCTGGCAAAGCAATCAAAGCCCCATGTGGGGCCCCTAGGAGGAAATTGAACACTTGGACTGTGAGCCGTCAAATGCAGCATTTCTACATTTGCAGGATCCGGGATCTGACACGCAGCTGGGGTCAGGCTGGATGAAAGGACATGGGAGTGATTGAACTGGGCACGGATTTGAAGAGAGGATGTTGTCATTTGCTAAATTTAACTTCTCCAAGCCTCAAGCCTTAGGCCCCTGCCCTTTCCGGGGGCTGAAGGAGAGGATGGCATTGCAGGCTGCGTCAGAGGAGGGGCTCAGGGGATGAGGAATGACAAACCTGTGGCAATCTTATCGCTTGCTCCCCTCTCCTGCGTCTGTGCAGACATCGCTAATCAATCACAGCAGTCTGTTTCTGGGCTCCCTGTGGGGCTCCAGAACCTTCTCACCAGCGTTCCAGCTAGCACTACCATTGACGGGTTGGCATGTGGGAAGAAACAGCTTTGCCTCTGCTTTCTGGCCCAGCCCCTTCATGGTACAGATAGACGTGGACAGGGAGACCATGTCCCCTCACAAAGCTTGGGCCCATGTCTCTCATTTTCTTCCCATTTTCAGAGTGTGCCTGTATCAAGATGGTCTTCACTGTAAGTGACAAAAACACCCACTCAGGCTTAAACAAAAAATGATTTTATTGGCACATACAAGTGAAAAATGTTCAGGAGAGAGTTGGCCTCAGGCATAGTTGGATCCAGGACCCTACGTAAAGTTCTCAGGCGTTGGTCGTTCTATGTCCCTGGGCTCTGCTTTTCTCTGTATTGGTTTTATTCTTGGAGGGTGGGGAGTGGTGTGGGAGGCACATGCCTCACATGGTGGCAGAGGTTCAACCATTCAAAGAGAGCTTCTCTTCCCAATAATTCCAACATGAGTCCTTGAGGGCTCTCATTGGCCCAGCTGGGGTCATGTGGCTACTTGTCACTAGGACAGGGAGCTCTTTGATTGGTTTTGCCTGGGTCACATGATCACCCCTCACATGCTAGGGTTGGGGTGGGGTCGCCCTGGGGCGAAGCACGTAGCTGGTGTGAGGAGCCATCAGGCTACTCTCAGTTCTCTTCCTTCCTCTGTTTCCTTGTCTTCATTCATCAATAGTCATGAAGCCTGCTCTCTGCCAGGGACTGCTGTCACCATTAGCACCACAGCAGTGACCTGGACCGATGCAAACCCCGCCCCCATGGAGCTCACAGTCCGGGCGCTGGGGGAGAAGGATGGTGCTCTAAGGAGAAGTGAAACCGTATTTCTCAGAATCTGCCTGCTGCCTTCCCCGGTGGCCTTCCCCAGACCTTCCTGCTCACTCTGCTGGCCTCTTTTTTTGCCACTGACCACCCTACCCTGTCACAGAGCGATTCATCAATGGGATAATGAATTTTCTAAAATAATAATGATGGCAATAATGGAAACAATAATACTTGCTAATATTTAGTGAGCACTTACTATAGTAAGTGAGCACTTACTATACACTGTTTTAAGCACTTAATGTAAACTCACCTATCAATCCTCACAAACCCTTATCCTGAAGATGCCTTTATTGTCTGCACTTTATAGATGAGAAGGCGGACATGCAGAAGCATTGCTTTGTCCTGCCCAAGGTCACAGAGCTGGCGATGAGGGGATTCGGGTTGTGACTCTAGGTGGTCTAGCTACAGAACCTACACTTGGTACTTATAAGGTCGATGCTGGTAGTGGTTGGTGAGGGTGGTCTCGGGGGCTTTCAGTGTCGTATCTCAGAGCAGCACTAATAGTGGGGTCTGTAGGCCCAGAGGAAGCCCAGGTCTCTTGGCTGCAGAGGGACTTTTTTCTTTTTTTCTTTAAACTCGTTATATATGGTAGGGACCTCCTACTGCCATTCATGTGCCTGCACTTAGAGCCTGGCCCTCCCTCTACAGCCCTGCAGGCCTTCTCTGCAGGAGCAGGCTCCCAGACACAGGCCAGTTCCTGTCACCCAGAACAAGATAGTTCGCTATGTTCCTCGCCCTCTTCCCTGCAGCCTGCCCCACCACAGTCTGCAGCTGAGGCCCTGGCTCCAGACATGTCTTGCACCCTCCCCCCCACACGGTTTCATCTGTGGCTTCTCCTCACCCATTTCCTTTGGCCTTGGTGGTCCCTTAACCTTGTTTGAGACAAGTGGAAATAGAAAAAGGTCTGTTTGGGCAGTTTAGAGGAGGCTGGGGGTCCCTTCTCCTTCCCTGCTCTGTGTGCTTGTGTGTGTGTGTGTGTGTGTGTGTGTGTGTGTGTCGGCATCTCATTGGGTTGCAGGTACTCGGTGAAGAGGTTGTGGTTTGTGACTCAGTGTGTTTCTGTGTGTGCTGATGGTGGTGGTGGTGTTTGGAGCACATAGCTTGTGTAGTGTAATGCTTGAGATTGTTTGGTGGTTCCTTGGACTGTGCATCAGGATTGTTTGTCCTGTGGTGTGTGTATGTGTGTGTATACTTGGGCGATTGTAACGTTGTTTTGGTATTTTCCCTGTGGACTGATGTTTGTTCATTGTGTTTATGTTCGTAGCTAATGTGGTGCCTATGGTGTTCCAGGCCCTGTTCTACTCATTTTACATACATGAAGTTATTTCATCCTCCAGCAACCTAAGTGTTGGGGGCCAGTTGTGATGTCCATTTTATAGACGAGGACACCAGGGCACAGGGAGGTGAAGCGACTTACCCAAGGTTACCCACTACTTAGGGAGTGCAGAGCAGGGTTTACAGAGTCACTCTGTGCACCTCATCATTATGCCGCAGCACCCCTTGGAGCTTAGTCTGTGGATTTGTGGTTTGAGATTTGCACCCTGTGTGTTTGCTTCCAAGGCTGTGTACATCCCTTGAGCTGGACATCAGCATGGGGGTTAAGAGAGTTGGAATCCTGGTTCTGCCACTGCACTCGCTGTGAGACCCCGGGCAAATGACTTCTGCTTGGTTTTCCCATGTGGAAATGGCTCTACTACAGTCATTACCACGTCAGGTTACTGTGAGGAGTGAGGAGCGAGTGAGTTGACCTCCTTCCGAGAGAGTAGGGGCAGCCTGTACCAATTGCTCAGCACACAGTATCGGCGCTGGCCACAGGCCCTTTGCTGCCGAGACTTTCTGCCCCGACAGTGCACACAGAGCCCCGGAGCGAGCTGGGGCTTATGACTCTCAAGCCCATTCTCTCTTCTCTTTGGCTTCCTATTTCCTGCAGCCTCCTACCGGAAGGCTGCCTGGGGGCTTGTTTAGAAACAAGACAAGCTGCTTGCCCTGCAGACACACCTCTTCCTTCCTTTGCTTCTTCGGTCTCTTGTCCCCCCACCTCCGGCCTCCCCTCTCACATCCAAGATGGAGCCTTGTAGACCTTCCTCCTCTAGTGGCCTCACCCAGGACATCCTTGTTTGGGGTTTGGCGGGTTCTGTGGGCTGTTTGGAACCAAGAATGCTCAGTTGAGAGTTTCCTGCTAAGAAGGCTCCTGTCCCTTCTAGTTCCGGAAACCCTGATTGTTGGTTACGAACCTGGTGACCCACAGGTGACCTCTAGGCTGGAAAGAGTCCAGCTTTGGGCTCAGGGGCATTTGGATGTCTACAGAGCTACCCCCCTGCCATACAACTCCATGAGTTAGGGACTTTTATTAACTCTGCCTTACAGATGAGGAAACTGAGGCACAGGGAGGCCAGAAAACCTGCCCAAATTCAGTTAGGAAATGCAGAGCCAGAGTTCAAGCCCAGGCTGCTTGGCTTGAGTCTGTACTCGTGACCCCTGGGCTGTGCCGCTGGGTGCAGAACTGGGGCAGGAGTCGAAGCAGGGCGGCCCGCAGTGAGTGGAGACGGAGACACTTCCCTGTGCAGCTTCTCCGGGGTCTGGGGTAGCCCGTTCCTGCCAGTGCAGCTGTCGGCACATCTCAGGGCATCTCCCTTCCTGCTGTGACCTGCCTCCCACTGGCCCTGTCCTTGTCTTGCAGAAGGACAAGTTCTGCGTGTACGAGGAATATTGCAGCAACCACGAGAAGGCCCTGAGGCTGTTGGTGGAGCTGAACAAGATCCCCACCGTGCGCGCCTTTCTGTTGGTAAGTTGACCATCAGCCCTGGCCTGCCCTCCCACTCTGCTTCAGCCTGGGGAGTCTCCGGGCACAAGGGAACTTCATGCTGCCCCGTGATGCCTGACTCTTCTTCCTCAGCTGGGGCTATCTGCTGTCTGAAGCCCTTTTCTGCAAAGGCCCAGCTAGTGAATGTTTTTGGTTTTGCCCGCCATTTAGTTCCTGTCTCCGCAACTCAACTCATGCTGTTGTAGCACGAAAGCGGCCATAAATAATGTGTGGGGGATGTGTTGCAATAAAACTTTATTTACAAAAACACGCAGAGGGCTGAAGTAGGGTCAACTTGACTCATTCTTGGTCTAAAGTAATGGTTCTAATAAAAGTGGTAGCAATAGTAGTAATGATCATTACTGCTATTATTATTGGGATTATTATCATTAGGATTACTACATTATTTAATTTTAAGTGAAAGAAAATACAATTAAAACTGGCTTAAGCAAAACAACAACAAAAAACCAAAAATGAATTTACTGGTTTACTTTTCTGGGAAGTTTCAGACCTGAGAGCGCTTCAGACATGTAGAGTCTGGGTGTTCAAATGACGTCATCAGGAATGTATCTCTTGGCTCTGCCTTTCCCTGCCTTGGCTCCATTCTGGGCATGCTATCCCCAAGCGGTAGCAGTGTGGCCCCCAGCAGCTCCATGCTTGTATCTCTCATAGCTCAGCAACTCCGGGCTGAAGAGAACTCCTGTTTCCTCATAGTAACAGCAAAAATCCTGACTCTGAAGCTCATTGGCTCACCTTGGCTCAAAACCTTCTCCGTGAACCAATTACTGTTGACAGAGGGATTGAGTGGTGTTCTGATTGGCCACTTCTGGAGATGGAGGGCGGGGTCAGGTCCACCTATACGATAGGGCCTAAGGGTGCAGTGAATCCTTAGAGACAGTTTGTTTGCATTTGTGGGAATGCAGGTAAGTGAGTTGGGAATAAATGGTTGTTGGTCAGGAAAACCTGTAGACATCCATGGTGGTTTTCCCTGTACTCATAGAGAGCTTCACTTATGGGTAAAACAGGTTCTCATTTGTGACCTCCTTTGAGCCTTCCAAACCACTATCTGTTGTGTACGAGTTAAGAGACACATTTGCGTGCTTTGTAGACACATCAAATAACAGTGGTTTAAACAAGGTAGACATTTATTTCTCCCACATGTGAATAATGTGGTTGTAGACAGCCTGGGGCTGGTATAGGGACTCTAGTGTCGGGGCCAAGTTCCTGGAGTATGATGAGCCTCATTGGCATGGTCTAAGACGGCCTCTCAACACATCCTGATTCCAGGTGGTGGGGTGCAGGAATGGTGGGAAGGAGGCATGACGTTGTCCTTTTAAGGGCATAACAGGAAACGGCATGCGTCTCTTCTGCTCACGTCTTATTGGCCAGAACTTAGTCACATGGCCTCACCTAGCTGCAAGGGAGGCTGGGAAATATAGGCTTTGTTCTGGGCAGCCGTCTAAAAATTCTGTTGTCGTGGAAGAAGAATACATTAGGGGACACTGTGTAGCCTTTGCCACAGGTGACTTTGATGACACCAAAGTATTAAGTGACATGCCAAGGGTCTGTACTTGAAATGTGATTGAGCTTATCATGGGCTCCAATTCCGGTCTTTCACCCGTAGATCCCCCTCTCATTTAGTCACAGACATTCCTCCACCCGAACTGTTTGTTTTCCCAACAGCACGTACAGAATTCAGTGCGCACAAGTAGAATTAACTGACGTAGCATAAGGAGTGTTAGCTGTGTTCCCAGAGCCCCAAACTATATAATAAAATTCCTCATCGCACTTCTCCTTAATGCGCCGTCTTCTCCGACAAAGTACTTCCAGAATTTTGATTCAATATGTTGTATGTTTCCTTCACTAGTGATTTCATGTTGCTTGGCCTGGTTCCAGTGAGCATCTGAGGAAGGGCAAATTGGCTGACTGATTTCCATTTTTGTCTCAAGTGAATTAAGCTTTTAGGACTGATGCTTTTCGTAGCTGGTATCTGCATCTTCACATTTCCATTTTTACACTTACGTCCATAAAATAGTTTAGGTAGGATGCAAAGATGAAGTCAGGCTAGCGTGAGACCGCATGTGGACAGAGTTGGCCACGGTTCTCAGTGACCGCTGACTTGCAGGTGGCACCACCCTGCCGTAGCCCCTGCTGCCGGGCTCTGGGCTCCCTGGCCCAGGGCTCCCCTGTCTCAGGGCTCCCCTGTCTCAGGGTGTCCCTTTGGGCTCAGCTGGGTCCTGGGAAGCAAGAAGATGCCAGGAAGGTGTGTGCAAGGGCATGGGAAGGGAAGGGCAGATTTTCCTTTCTCTCTTGCGTCGTCTTCCTGGTGGGCCAAACTGCCGTTTTCCTAGCAGCAGCTGGGTGGGCTGGGCTGGGCAGAGGAGGACGTGTGGGGTGCCAGCATATGTACCATCTGTCTCCCTCCTTGCTGGCGTCTCCCAGCTTTTGGCCACCTGCAGAAGAGCTGTCGCAAGTCTGTCATGGGATGGTAAGGTTTTGGGAACAGACAGGATCTGGCCTTCCATTCATGATGTGCTTTGCACTAGCTGAGTGACGGGGCAATGATTTTATCTTTCTCTGCCTCAGTTTTTCTTGTCTGTGCAATGGGGATGATTTATTTATTTACTCATTCAACAATTTCTTACTGAGCACCTATCACGGAGTAGAGTTCATTCTAAGTCCTGGGAATGCAACAGTGAACAAGGCAAGAAAAAGTCCCTGTTCTCATGGAGTGGCCCTTCTAGTTGGGGGAGACTTAAATGATATCTCATGTGATGTTAAGTTGTCTGGAAGAAATAAAGTAAGTTAAGAATGACAGGATATATTTGAGGGAGTTAGGGTGGTGGCTGCTATTGAGATTGCTGTTTGGGAAAACTATGTCTTAGGTGACATTTAAGCAGAGATGTGGATAAAATGAGAGAGAGAGAGAGGCAAGGGGTGTCTGGAAAGCATTCTAGGTAGAGGAGCTTCAAGTGCAAAGGCCCTGAGGTAGGAGTGTGTCTGAGGAATGGCAAGAAGGCCAGGGTGGCTGGAACGGCTGGCATGAGAGGAAAAGTGGGAGGAGATGAGGTTAGAGAGATTGAAAGAAGCCAGATAGTGAAGGAACATTTAGCCAATAGAAAGAGTCGGAGATGTTTAAATAGCTTTTTTATTGAAGTAGAACATACATGCGGTAAATGTACTCATGGGATCATGAATGTTTACATATATCTACTCCCATGGAACCACCAAGGTCAGGAGTTGCAACATTGCTGTAATTCCAGAAGGTTTCCTCATGTCCCTTCCGAGTCATGCCTCTGTTTGCCTCCCAGGTAACCGCTATGCTGATTTTTCTTACCAAAGGCGAGCTTTGCCTGTTCTAGAATTCTACCTGAATGGAGTCACACAGGATGCTTTTGTGTCTGGTTGCTTTTGCGCACCATGACGTCTGTGGGCTTCACCCCTGTTGGAGCTTGTGGCAGTGCTTTAAAGGATGTTCAATTTTATTCTGAGTGGGATGGGAAGCCATGGGGGGTTTGAGCAGAGGGATGACTTGAACTACTTTGCATTCTGAAAGGCCCCCGTGGTTACACGTGAGGGACCAGGGAGGAGGCTTGTATACATTTCCTAGGGCTGCAGTAACAGTGGCCACCGACTGGGTTGCTTAAAACAACAAAATATATTTTCTTAGTCTTGGAGGCCAGAAGTCTGAAATCAAGGTGTTGGCAGGGCTGTACTCCCTCCAAAGGCTATTTGCAAATAAGGTCACATTCTGAGGTTTTGGGTGGGCACAGCGTTTGGGAATCACCATTCGACTCGCTATAGGACTACTGCAAGAGTCCTGGCAGGAGGTGGTGGCTGAGAACAGGGCATGGTGGTAGGAGAGGTGGCTGGACTCACGTGGAGTTTGAAGGCCCAGCTCACACGATCTGCCTCACAGTTAGCTTTGGGGTACAAATCAACAAGAGCAGTCAAAGGTGACTCCAGCATCTTGAGCCCAAACAATTGGAAAAATGGAGTCGCATTTTCCTGAGATGGTGAAGGCTGGGGTAGGAGCAGGTATCAGAGGCAAGTAAAACATCACCTTTGGGATGCATGAGGTTTAAGATGCCAGTGACGCCTCCAGGTGGGGATGTCTGGAAGGCTGTCAGAGATTCAAGTCTGGAGTTTTAGGGAAGGGGCCTGGCTGGAGATAGAAATCTGAGCATTTTTAGCATAAAGATGGTGCTTCGAGCCATGGGTCCTGATGGGATCAGGCATGGGGCGAGTGTGAACAGAAAGGAGGACCTAGGACAGTCCGGGGGCTGCTGCCACTGGGAGATTGGGAAGACCATGAGGTTGACACTTGAGTCACTTCCGTGGATTAGGAGGGTTTAAGGAGATAATTTTCAGAAGTTCTTCCCATAGTGCCTGAAGTGTAATAAGAGAATAGTGAATGAAGCTCTGTGTGTGTTTGCTTTTTCTTTTTTTTTTTTTAAAAGAAAATGAAATGAAGCAACAATCTAGCGTGTTTGGGGAGAAGTGTAGTTGGTGGCTGTGACAGTCTTGTGAAAACTCCTCGATCCTGGGCAAAGAGATGGGCCTTTCTCCTGCCAAGCCCTGGGGGCTCTGGAAAGCACACCCCCACCCGCAGGCTCCCCCTTCTCTGCCCAGAGCTGACATCACCAGGGCAGCTTGTGGCAAGCGCTGGCTCAGAGGACAAAGGCCTGAGTGTGAGCAGTGTGGGGCCTGGCATCTCCCAGCTGCCACAGCCTTGATCCCCCATTTGTGCCAGGGGTAGACACAGGGATGGGGGCCGCGCAGCTCAGCCAGAGCAGGGACCTGGGGTCCCCAGGATTCTGCTTCTCCAAGAAGAGAGGCTGTTAGGATTCCTGAGAGTCAGTGGAAGTAGCTCTGGGACTTGGGCGCGGTCTTGGTGCCTGGGGTGGACACACGATCAATGTTCTCTGGTCTTACTGTATTTTCACTTGAATATAAGCAGGGCATTTGTTGAGTTGGGCAGA